TTCCTTCCTTCCTTCCTTCCTTCCTTCCTTTCTTTCTTTCTTTCTTTCTTTCTTTCTTTCTTTCTTTCTTTCTTTCTTTCTTTCTTTCTTTCTTTCGTCATGGGGCTTGAACTCTGGGCCTGGGCACTGTCCCTGAGCTCTTCAGCTCAAGGCTAGCGCTCTAACACTTAAACCACAGCACCACTTCCAGCTTTTTCTGTTTATGTGGTACTGAAGAATTGAACTCAGGGCCTCATGCATGCAAGGCAAGTATTCTACCACTGAGCTGCCTTTCCAGCCCCATCTCTTTTCTTTTCTTTTCTCTTTCTTTTTTCTTTTTTTTTTTTGCCAGTCCTGGGGCTTGAACTCAGGGCTTGGGCAATGTCCCTGAGCTGCTTTTGTTCAAGGCTAGCACTCTACCACTTGAGCCACAGCACTACTTCTGGCTTTTCCTGGTTATGTGGTGCTGAGGAATGGAACCCAGGGCCTCATGCATGCAAGGCAAGCGCTCTACCACTGAGCCACCTTCCCAGCCCCCTCTTTTTCTTTTTATTGTCAGTTCTGGGCTTAAACACTCAGGACCTGGGCACTGTTCTTGAGCTCCTTTTGCGTAAGGCTAGCACTCAAACACTTTGAGCCACAGCTCCACTTCCAGTTTTCTAGTGGTTAGCTGGCAACAAGAATCTCACAGAGCTGGGTGCTGGTGGCTCACGCCTATAATCCTAACTACTCCGGAGGCTGAGATCTGAGGATCACGGTTCAAAGCCAGCCTGGGGGCTGGGAAGGTGGCTCAGTGATAGAGCGCTTGCCTTGCATGCATGAGGCTCTGGGTTCGATTTCTCAGCACCACATAAGCAGAAAAAGCTGGAAGTGGTGGTGTAACTCAAGTGTTAGAGCGCTAGCCTTGAGCTGAAGAGCTGAGGAACAGCGCCCAGGCCCAGAGTTCAGGCCCCATGACTGACAAAATAAATAAATAGAAGGATGATTTATATTAAAAAAGAAAGAGAGAGAAAGAATATCTCACAGGACTTTTCTGCCCTGTCTGGCTTTGAACCTTGATCCTCTATCTCAGCCTTCTGAGTAGTTAGAATTACAGGCATGAACCACCAGCACCTGGCTTGTGAGACTCTTATCTCCAATGAACCACCAGAAAACTGGAAGTGGCTCTGTCTCTCAAAGTGGTAAGCATGCTAGCTTTGAGTGAAAAATGCTCAGGGACAGTGCCAAGACCCAGAGTTCAGGCCCCACGACTGGACCCCCCAAAAAAAACAAAACGAAAGAAAGAAAGAAAGGTCAAATGTGTAAGGTCCGCTCCTGGGTGGCGAGAAGACTCCACCCTCCTTGCAGCAAAGTCCCCACCCAGTACCTGCGTTACCTAGGCAACTGGTACACCTAGAAGAGGTCACATCTGCATCCTCTGAGGTCACATCTGAATTTGATGTGGCCACACCTTTCTCTGTCCATACCCTAGATAAGGCCTAGCCCAGACACAGAAGCTCTCTCTCTGCTCTTTTCTTCTCCGCAGCGCTTTCCCAGCTCTCTTAGCTCTTTTTCCCAGCTCTCTCTCTTTCCCACCTCTTTTCCCAGCTTTCTGTCCTTCTCAGGTCTTTCCCAGGCCTTTCCCAGCCGCATGGAGCCAACCTGCCCTGGTCCCAGCAGGTCTACCCCTTACCTGAATACCACGTGCGTGGTGCTGTTCTTACTCGGCTACCTCTTTAAAAAAAAAAAAAAAACCTAACAAAATGAATTTGGAATAAAAATCTTGGGCTGGGAATGTGGCTCAGTGGTAGGTGTTTGTCTAGCTGGCACAAAGCCCTGGGTTTGATCCCCCAGTACTACATAAACAGAAAAAGCTGGAAGTGGTTCTGTGGCTCAAGTGGTAGAGTATTATTAACCTTAAGCAAAAGAAGCTCAGGGACAGGCCCTGAGTTCAAGCCCCAGGCAAATGTAAAATCAAATCAAATAAAAATTTTTCCAGGTGCTGGTAGTTCAGGTCTGTAATCCTAGCTACTGGGTAGGCTGAGAACTGAGGATCAAGATTCAAAGTGAGCACAGGTAGAGAAGTACCTGTGAGACTCTTACCTCCAATTAAATAGTCAATAACTAGAAGTAGAGCTGTGGCTCCAAGTGGTAGAGTGCTCAGCTCAGGGACAGTGCCCAGGACCTCAGTTTAAGCCTGATAACCACCAAACAAATAAATAAGTTTAATTAAAAAAGAAATCTTGCTTCCCAGGGTCCACTTATACTCAAGAGGTGGAAAAACCAAAAACAAAACTTAGCCGGGCGTCGGTAGCTCATACCTGTAATCCTAGTCAGGAGGCTGAGATCTGAGGATCACAGTTCAAAGCCAGCCCAGACAGGAAAGTCAGTGAGACTATTTCCAACTAACCACCAGAAAACCAGAAGGGGTACTGTGGCTCAAGTGGTAGAGCGCTGGCCTTGAGCTGAAGATCTGAGAGACAGTGCCCAGGCCCAGAGTTCAAGCCTCACAACTGACAAAACAAACAAACAAAAAACCTAGAGGTTCATGGGAGTCTCCCTTTTTCCTGCCTGGTGTGTATTTGTAGGCCCTGGGAAATGGAAGAATTGCTGGGCAGCTGGCCATGAGGTCATGGGGCTGCTGCCTTTCTGTCTACACCAACAAGACAAATGGCTCTATATCAAACACTCTGGAAGACAAATCCAAGAAATTGAATCAAGAGAAATTTCCTTGACTCCTGGGGATTTCTGTTACTTGAATGAATATTTTTTTTGGGGGGGGTTTCCCAGTTGGTGGTATGTTGTTGATACAAGGTGATATGAGGCTGTGAGCCTGGTTCCCGAGTTGTATGTACTCACCCCTGGTGGCCACAGCTGCACAAGGTCCTCAGCTCTTTGGACATCCAGATCTGGGACTTGCCACACCCCCCATCCCCTCTGCAGGTGCAGAAGTGGCACTGGGATGCCCAGGGTCCCTCGAGGGGTCTCGCCTGCTCCATTTGTCTGTAGAGGAAACAGCCTGGGACGTGCAGGGCCCGGATGAGGAATCAGAGTAGACAGGGGCTGGGAAGCCCAGGGACAGAGGCTGACGGGGGGGGGGGGAGAAGAAGTGGGGTGGCGGGTTTGGGGGCAGGAGCCCTCACCTCTGACCCCTGGTGGGGACCTGTCCTCCAGCTGGGCCATCTGGCTCAGCCATCCTCAGGGTACCAGAAGCCAGGGAGACATGGTGTGGCCTGTGGCAAGGAGGAAGATAAAACGCAAGGCTGCTCCAGGAGGGGTAATATTCTAAGTATGTATGCTCATAGGCAGAAAGCCTGGCCAATCAAAATGGGCCTAGAGGCCCCCAGTTTTTCCAAGGGTGGATGGCTACTTGCTGGATGTCAGGACACGAAGATCCAGGAGGTAAGGTTGAGATGAAGCAGGAACCCCATAGCTCCTTACCATGCTTGACATATTCTTTCTTTCTTTCCTTTTCTTTCCTTCTTTTTCTTTTTCTTTCTTTCCTTTATCCCTCTCCCTCACCCTCTCCCTTTCCCTCCCCCTCCCCCCCCCTTTTTTGGTATTGAACTCAGAGGAGTCTGGGCACTGTTCCTGAGCTTTTTCTGCTCAAGACTAGCACTCTACCACTTGAGCTACAGCTCCACTTCTGGCTTTTTGGACATTCATTAGAAACGAAAAGTTCAAGGACTTTCCTGCTGCAACTAGCATTGAACCGCCATCCTCAGATCTCAGCCTCCGGAGTAGCTAGGATTACAGGCATGAGCCACTGGTGCCTGGCCATTTATTCATTTTTAACTTCCATCTACCTATCCATCCATAGGATGGATTACCATCCATCCATCATCCATCCATCCATCCATCCATCCATCATCCATCCATCCATCCATCATCCATTCCCCCATCCAGTATTATTGAACATAGGCCCTGGTGGCAGTGTCCTGGGTGGAGGCTGGAAAACAGAGGGGGCCCCTGTTCTGTGGGATCCCAGCCCACAGCTCCCTGTGGAAGATTGATAATAAACAGCTAAACAAATCAGCCTGCTGGCCAGCAATCTGGAATAGGAGTGTTGAGAGGGCAGAGGGCAGGGGCAGGTGTGCCATACAGGGGAGAGCGGGAAGGAGGGGGGGAGGAGGAAGATGTCCACCTAGGCCCTTGGGCAGGGGGGGAAGGAGGGGGGACGATGATGGATGGACATGGGTGATGCCAGGCAAGGCTGAATGGAGCAGCTGCCTGTCACCAGAAGCCAGCTGAGTATGCCAGATGCTGGGTCCCTGGGGGCCTACCTGTTCCGGGCGGGGTAGCAGGAAATGAAAGCACTCCCTAGAGAGGAAGCGAGGTGCAAGGGGAAGAGGCGGGGCGGGGGGGGGGCGGGGGGGGGAATCTGTACCCAGCCTTCCTGAGGAGGCCCCACCCACTAGTAGGGGGCCTTGCTGGCTCTTCTCCCAGCCTGGAGACAGTCAGGGTCCAGGCCCGCCCCTGCCCAAATGTCTTAGGTACCCACAGAAAGGAAGAGGCCACACATCTTAGGCTTAGTTCTTTCGCTTTTTAATTTATCTCCAATAAGCAGTATCTTCTGCCCATCCCCACGTGGCAGTTGGGTCCCAAGGGAGAAGGGGGGCCCAGCACCCACTTTGAGAACTGGAGGCAGCCACTGGGGAGCCCTTTAGGCTCAGAGCCCCCCACCCCTGAGAAAACCGGGGTAAATTTGCATTGGTTTACTTGGCTACCAGTCCCTGGGAAGAGTAGAGTGGGAGGATTCCTCAGCCCTCTGTCCTGGAACAGTTAGAAGTTGGGGGGGTCCCCCTGACCCCTGGAAATGGTTAGAGATTAAGGGAGGCTGTTCCTTATGGGGGTGGTTAGCGATTGTGGGTGTTAGAGACTGGCCAGGATGAAGTGGAGACAGCTGGGAACCCCAGTTTTGAGTGGTGGTTAAGAGACTAAGGGGGTGTGCTGAGTCCTGCAGACCTAAGCTGCAGGTTGGAGGGGCTGTGCTGGTTTGGGGGCTGGTGTCCATCACTGGGGCCCCTCCTTCCCTGTGGTCTTGTCCCCATCCTTGGCAGGAAGTGGTGACTTCCTGGGAGAAGTAGGGTTGGGGTTGGGGGTCCCTGACCCCGACTGGGCATCTATGCTGGCATGTTCCCTCCGGACCAGGTCTTCTAGATCCTTCTGCAAGTTGGGGGGGGGTGAGGGGGAGGATGAGGAGAGATTTCACAGAAGTCATAGGTCACCACACATTTGGGGACCACAGGAGGCACAGGCTGGGGTCCTGGGACCTCCTGTGGATGGGCTAGGGGGTGGGGGGCTGGGCTGGGGTCACTGGACTCCTCACCTTCCACCCCAGGAGGTCAGCGAGCGCCAGGCAGCCCTGGTCACAGTCACCCAGCCAGGCCACATCCCTGCATTGTGACAGGAGTAAGCTCTGGGGTGCCCTCTCCCCTCCTCCTCCCCCAAGCCCCACCCTCTTACCTGTAGGCTTTCTTGGAGTCAAAATCCATGCCTCCGCCCAGGCCCATCATCATCCCTAGGAAGGGGTCTGTCTGCATGGGAGGTAAGAGGAGGCCAGCTTAGGGTCAGGGCCCTGTCTTGAGTGTACCCTGCTTCCTTTCTTTCTGTGTATAGAGGGGACAACTGGGGAACCCAGACAGGGTGTGTTGCCCACAGTGGATCACTGAGCATTTTCTCTTTCTGGTTTCCCACATAAAAGAGATGGGTTGTATGTATGTGTGTGTGCATGTGCGTGTGTGTGCGCACTGGTCCTGGGACTTGAACTCAGGGCCTGGATGCTGTCCTTTAAGCATTGCTGCTTGAGACTAGTGGTCTACCACCTGAACCACAGCTTCACTTCCAGCTTTTTGGTAGTTAATTGGAGATAAGAGTCTCATGGACTTTACTTCCCTGGGCTAGCTTTGAACCTCAATCCTCAGATCTCAGGCTCCTGAGCAGCTAGGATGACAGGCGTGAGTCACCTCTACCCTTCATCGCAGGTTTGCAGTGGGACAGTCACTTGATCAAAAGGTTCCAGAATGACCAAAGGTGACCCAGACCCCTGACGGGTGGGAGGGATGGAATGCAGGAGGCAGAGGGTTGGTGAGGGCAGCCCCCTCCCCTCCGGACTCACCTGGCCCGTCTTTTCTTTGTTGATGAGCAGGCGTGGGGTGGAGAGCGATGCCCTGGGGTGGGGAGCTGGGGGTCAGACTTTGTCCTGGCTCCCCGATCCCTAGGCACCCCCCCACTTCCAGCTCAGAGCCCCAACCTACTTGCCAATGAGGGAGGCGAAGGGCTGCACCTGCAGGGAGGTGCCCATGATGATGAGAAGATCAGCCTTGATGAAGTCCTGTGGGGAGTGGCCGGTGAGGGCTCAGGAGCCAGGGCCATGGAGGGAGGAGGGGGAGCCCGCCTGCCCGGGGCACTGCAGGGCTCTGGGGGCCACTTACCGACTGCATGCAGGAGAAGAAGCGTGCTGGGAGGTTCTCACCAAAAAATATGATGTCTGAGGCAGAGACCAACAGACCCATGGACAGACATGGAGACAGTTGGACACAATCAATGGAGAGGTAGAGAGAGGATAGGCGGGAGGGGAGGCAGACCCCAGGCACCGTGGTGGGAGTTGAGGGGCGGTGGGAGCTCGTGGGGAGGACAGAACTCTCCTCTCCCCAGGAGAGTTGAAGAGCAGGATCAGTGGGGGAGGGATGGGGGGGTCCCAACCCTAAGCCCCATCCCCACACCACCCCCAGGCCTGTCCCTAGCCGGACAGCTCACCAGGCTTGACCACACTTTGACATTTCTCGCATTTGGGGATTTCTTCTGAGAAGATCTTTTCTGGCAAGGGGGAGGGACAGATGGAAGGTGTGAGGGGCCTGGGGTGGGTATAGCCATTTCTACCCTTCTCGTACATTAACCCACCATCGAACTCCTGGGGTAGGTATCCTTGGGGAAGACTTCGTGTGTGTGTGTGTGTGTGTGTGTGTGTGTGTGTGTCCTTGGGGAAGACTTCGTGTGTGTGTGTGTGTGTGTGTGTGTGTGTGTGTGCGCGCGCATGCCCACCAATACTGGGACTTGAATTTAGAACCTACACTCTGTCCCTTGCTCAAGTCTGGTACTCTACCACTTGGGCCACAGCTCCACTTCTGGCTTTTTGGTGGTTTATTGGAGATAAGAATCTCATAGAGGGGCTGGGAAGGTGGCTCAGTGGTAGAGCGCTTGCCTTGCATGCCTGAGGCCCTGGGTTCGATTCCCCAGCACCACATAAGCAAAAAGAAAAAAGCCAGAAGTGGTGCTATGGCTCAAGTGGTAGAGCTCTAGCCTTGAGCTGAAGAGCTGAGGGACAGCGCCCAGGCCGAGTTCAAGACCCACGACTGGACCCCCCCCCCAAAAAAAAGAATCTCATAGAAAGTCATACCCCAGTGGCTCATGGCTGTAATCCTGGCAATTCAGGAGGTTGAGATCTAAGGATCAAGGTTCAAAGTCTTAGAAGGAACATCCATGAGACTCTGATCTCCAAGGAACTACCAAAAAGCCAGAAGTAGAACTGTGGCTCAAATGGTAGAGTGCTAGCCTTGAGCAAAAGAAGCTCAGGGACAGTATCCAGGCCCTGAGTTCAAGCCCTTGGACCAGCACCAAAAATAAATTAATTAATTAGTTAAATAAAATAAAAGATTCTCATGGACTTTCCTGCCCAAGCTGGCCTCGAACTTAGATCTTCATATCTCAGCCTCCTGAGTAGCTAGGATTACAGGTGTAAGCCACCCGCCCTGAGCAAGACCTCCCTTCTTTTACAGCTGACCCTTTATTCCTTGCCACCCCCAGATGTCCAGGGGTGGCTTTTGATATGACTGTGAGAAGCTTACAAACGCAGAGACACCCTGAGAAAGATAGCCCCTGCCAGGCCTCCGGGGTCCCCCCTGCTCACCCTGGGTCAGGAAAGGACACACAGATGATTCTGAGAGGGGACAAAACCTTTGTCCCAGCTGCTTCCCAGCCTTGGGGCTGTGACAGCGCCAGCCTCACTGGGTCTTTAGGACAATGGCCTCCTCCTTTCCATTCAACAAGTGTGCACAGAGCATCTACTCTGTGCGTGTGAGGACGGCCATGACACACAATGGGGTGTTCTCTGTATGTCACCCCAGCTGCGTGGTGTGCCACTCAAGGATCCTCAGCCCAGGGTGCAGGCTGGGGGCGGTCGGCGAGGCCCTCCTCCAGAGGACCTCCTGTAAATGCCATAGCTGGCCTTGTCTCCAGGAGACACCAGTGGCTTTGTCCAGACACATAAAGAGAGTCAGAGAAGGCTCTTTGCTGGGCAATAGTGGGCTTTGCACCCTGCACAATGGCTGTGGGATGGATCAGGCTCTCACTGCCATGACACCCGTGGGCACTGGCTGGCTGTTGCTCCTGATGCTCTGTGAACGGGGATGGCAACTCTGAGCCCTGCTGCTGGTCTTCATCCCTCACCTGGCCTGAGTCCAGCTCCCTCGCCATCGACTTGGCTGGTATTGTTCAAAATGGCAGTCAAAATGTGACTTCACAACTGAAGTCCATACAAATTCAATCAAACTCCCAATTTATAGGTGGCATCAGTGGCTCATGCGTGTGATCCTAACTGTTCAGGACGCTGAGCTCTGGAGGATCAGGGTTCAAGGCTAGCCTGGGGAGGTAGTGGTGGTGGGGTGAGAAGTCCTTAAGACTTCAACAAATAAAAGCTGGGGTGAGGCAGTGCATGTCTGTGATCCCAGTTAAGGAGGGGGCTATAGGAAGAAGGATCACAGTCTCAGGCCAGGAAAAATCATAATGTATTTGAAAAAGGACAGGGGGCATGGCTCAAGTGCTAGAGCACCTGGCGAGCAAGTATGACCCTATGAGCTCAAATCTCAGTATCATCAAAAATCAAAGTTGGAGCTGGGAGCTGGTGGCTCACACCTATAATCCTAGCTACTCAGGAGGCTGAGAGCTGAGGATCTCGGTTCAAAGCCAGCTCAGGCAGGAAAGTCTGTGAGATTCTGATCTCCAATGAACCACCAGAAAACTAAAAGCGGTACTGTCGGTCAAAGTGGTATAGTTCTAGCCTTAAGCAAAAGACCTCAGGGACAGGGCCCAGGCCAAGCCCCATGACCAACAAACAAAATAAAACAAAAACGAAGCTGAAGTCAGAGCATATAAAAGGACACAGAGCTAGGGAGCCTGGCCCTCGAGATGGCTGAGCTTGTAGATGATAACCAGGCCTCCACTGCCACCTTGCACCTGCCAGCTCCCAAGCTACAGAGTGAGGAGGACACAGGGAGCCCCAACTCTGTGGGACCCAGCCTGCAGGCCTCATGATAACCTCCAGCCCCTCACCTTTCATCCAGCTCAGCCCATACTCCTGCCGGCAGACGGCGTTGACGCAGTGTGACGTATGGAAAGTACCATGGGCCTCCACCAGGTCCTCGGGCTCCAACCCGGCTACTCGCTCCAGGGTGTCAATGTTCTGGAGGGAGAGCAGAAGGAGAATCAGGAGAGAGCCACTGTTCTCAAGGGCCACAAGAGAGCAGAGGCCTCAAGAAGCAAGAGCAGGGGAGAGAGGACAGAAGGGAAGCAAGTGACAAGTATCTGGACACATCCTGTGGTGTGAAGGATTACTGGTAGACATCTAAAGGCCTGGGCCTCCCAGCCCTCCACCAGGCCCTGAGTTAAAGTCCCAATACTGAGGGAAATGGCTAATTCTGAGACACAGTGGGCTGTCAGACCACCTGACCACTGGAAAGGCCCAGGACTGTGGGGGTTTAACTATGCATGGCTAGTTCCCCTATCCCCAGATCTTTGTGTATTTAAACCTGCAGCACATGTCTGTACTGTGAAGTGTATCTTCACTTAACTGCCCCTGTCACTGGCTTTTGTCACCTCAAGTCACCATTAGGAAATCTGGTGCCAGGTGGGTCACGCTCAACCACACTGTGAGCACCAATAGGAAATGGGGACCGTCTTAGGGTTCCCATGGCATTCCCCCTCAGATTCAGGGTCCTGTCACAATTTGCTTGGGACAAGCTGAGATGATCCCATGGTGAAGCTGTCCAGGTCTCTGTTTTACAGAAATGGAAACCAAGGGGCTGGGAAGGTGGCTCAGTGGTAGAGTGCTTGCTTGCATGCATGAGGCCCTGGGTTCGATTCCTCAGCACCACATAAGCAAAAAGAAAAAAGCCGGAAGTGGCGCTATGGCTCAAGTGGTAGAGCGCTAGCCTTGAGCTGAAGAGCTGAGGGACAGCGCCCAGGCGAGTTCAGGCCCCACGACCGGACCCCCCCCCCAAAAAAAAAAGAAATGAAACCAAGGCCGAGAAGGTGTGGCTCAGTGCAGGCCACAGGCATGGGGGGGGGGCAGGGCATGGCCGGGAGGCGTGGCTGTAAGTATGGGGTGTGGCTGCTGGAGGTGTGGTGAGGACCCGAGGTGAGAAGGTGGGGTGGGCGTGTCCTGCACGTGGGCGTGGCCAGATGCAGGGCGGGGCCTACCTGCGTGTAGCAGCGCAGGAGCTGTCCCTTCTCCTTCAGCAGGCGGATGAAGTAGTGGCAGATGGTTGGCTGTGGGGAGAAAGCCACGTGGGTACTCTCCTCTTGGTCATGCCACCATAACTGTGGCCTGGTGGGGGGTAGGAGGAAGCAGCGCCCCAATACAGGTAAGGGGCAGAGTTGGTTTCATAGCGGGGCAGCGTCTGAGCTCCAAACTGCAGCCTGAGCTCACTTGTGCCTTGTTAACAAGCCTGAGATTGTCAAAAGCTTGACAAATGAGGAAAGTGAGGCTTGCAGGCCATGTTGAACCAGGAAGGAGTGCAGGGGGGGCAACCTGAAGCATGCATTTAATGACTCAGAGTGGGGTTTCCCATTTCTCTTTCTGCCTGCCCTCTCCCTCCCCCCCAACTACCCTGTCTGAAAGCTCCTTACCTTGAACTGCCCTGGATATAGCTCCTTGGTGAGGGCAAAGAAGGGTTCTGGATGTTTCTGTAGAAGACAGAGGAGGTGAGAGGAGGCCTGGGGCAAGATAACCCCCGACCCCTCCCCTTCTTATAGGCGCACCTTGAAGTAGCCAATTTCAAAGATGGCCTCCGGGTAAGGAAGATGGTACTTCTCCAGGTTGGCATACAGGCCCGTGGTTGGAGAACGGAAGTCAGGGATGCCCGCGGCTGGGGGGGGGGTGAAGGGCCAGGAGACAACCCCTCAGTAATGTGGCCCCCATTTGTACCTCCATGACCCTCCCAGCTGGACCCCTGGGAACAGCTTCCCCATCCCCAGGTGTGGAAAAGGGGACACTTACATGTGGAGATTCCTGCTCCCACCAAACAGATGACCTTGCGACCTGGAGGAAAGGCTGTCGTCACTGGAGGTGGTCCCCCAACCACACAGGGAGAGATTGATCTCCATGTCACACAAGAGGAAGCCAAGGATCAGATCAGGGGACACTGGCAACTAGGAGATCCAGCCAAGGGGATCAAGAATGCCAGAAATATCACTTGCAAAGGATGACCCAAGGGATGTTCCAGTTCAAGCTCCAGTACTGGCACACACATACCAGAAAAAAAAGACAGAGTACTTGGTCCCCTGACCATGTGATCCTGTGGGTCTTCCTCCCACACAGCAGGGCAGAGAGTCCTCTGGTGTCTTCAGCAGCTGCTGCCTCTCATGCAGCCCTGCCACACAGCCCTGGCATCTGCCCCTCCTGCTAATGGACAGACACAAGTGTGCCATTCCAGGACATGGTGCCCTGGGATGACCTGTGCCACTGGGGACGGCAAGGATGAACAAGAGCCTTGGATTCCACTCTGGTGTCACCAGGCCTGGCTAGTGGGAGCATGCGCTCTGAATTCAGGGGACCTGGAACCAAGTCCTGATTCTGCCTCGTCTCTTTCTTTATTATTACTATTTTTGGTGGACTTGAACTCGACCTTGTACTCTCCCTTATCTTTTTCTACTCAAGTCTGACACTGTACCAGTTGAGCCACAGCTCCACTTCCAGTTTGTTTGTTTGTTCCTGGCTAGTAGGAGATAAGAGTCTCATAGACTTTTCAGCCTCTTGAGAAGCTAGGATTCCAGGCATGAGCCACCAACACGTGGTTCTAACTCTGCCTCTTTTAAAGTAGTTGGACAACTCTGTGCCTCAGTTTACTCCTCTGCTCAATCACTCCCGTACCGGCCTATTATTAGCTATTCTGTGAAGATCAAGTGAGGACAACTACACTAACTTGCACTGAAAACAGAGCAAGGCCAACACTGAAGGCTCAGTTTATGATCATCATCATCATCATCACCATTGTCATCAATCATGTTGTACCAGTGATGAAATCTAGGGCCTTGTACTTGCTAGGTAGGTGCTCTACTACTTGAGCCATGGCAACTCCCTTTTGTTTAAATTTTGCTTTTGAGGCAGCATCTCACTAACTTGACCCAGAGTGGTCTCTCTCTCTCTCTCTTTTTTTTTTTAAATTTTTTTCCTCTTATAATTTTTTTATTTTAGGAATACGTGAATGTGCGTTTTCCTTTCTTTTCTTGTCTTCTTTCTCTTTTTGTTTCTTTCTTAACTATCTTTTTGTTTTTGTCTAGCTCTACTGAACTTCTGATCTTTTTTTT